CCACAGTTTCCATCGCTGGAAAGAGGCTCTATGAGCAGTGCTGGGGTGGGTTAGAATTTCTGCCTGCCTTTCTGTTCTTTTGTTTGCTTCTCTCCCAAGAGCTTTGAAAGTCTGAACTCCATCCTAGTGTGGAAGAAGGGAAAAAAAGCAAAACCCCTCATGGGACAGGACATTGTGGTGTGGTGCCTATCTTGTGGGTGTGCATGACTCTCTGAGAGAGATGTGTAGGGAAAGCAAAGCCAGGAGCAGAGGTCTCTGTGGCCTGCAGCGAGGGGAGCAAGGGTGTGTGCAAGGGGCTGACGAATTCCTGCCCTCACAAAGACACCCCAACTGGAATTTATGAGAATCCATCCACAATAAAACATTTCTAACTCACTGTCTGGCCATCAGCTGGCTGCATCCCAGGAACAGTGGCATGAGGATGAAGCTGCAGCATCGCACATTCCTTGCTATCACCGCAGCTTCTCTCTTGATGAAACAAAATCTCCCCTTGTCTGACAGTTCTGAGAACTGAAGCAAGAAAACCTCAGTGATGTTGCTGTGCTTGGAAGCCCGTGCAGAGCATGGCAGTCTTCTGAGCAAAACTTTTCCATTGCTCGTGCTGCAAAGTCAGGATGCAAATAACAAATTGGCAGACTGGGATTTCGAAGATTCTGCTCATATCTGAGGGTACAGAGATGTTACCGCAAGATTGCTGAAAAAAATGAGATTGATGATTTCGTTGTCTGGAAGATGTGTATCATTAGCAAAGGCATACAGCAAGGGCAAGTCCTTCCCTGGCCCTGTGGAAGCCCATAGGGAAGCCTGATGGGACTTAGTCCAAACGTTGCTGGTGTTACTCAGGCAGGTCAGGGGCAGAGGCATTACTGGGCTCTGCCCTGCCTGACCTGTGCAGTTTTAAGCCTGGGAATTTATGAAAACAATATATTGCAGGACATCATGGTGTTAATGTCATTTTTCTGACCAGATCCACTCAATAGCCCCAACAAATCCCAGTGATGAGTCAATTGTCAGTGGTCAGTGCCAGCACAGAGTGACACTGCAGACCACAAGGTGGAGAGAGAAATGCTGAGACAGCCTAATGGAGCATCTAGCTCAGTCCAAACAACTTACATGTTTTGTTTTGTTCTTTTAATTCTTGGAAAGAACTAGAAAAGGATGGCAAATTTCACCAGAAGTGAAAGAAAACCACAGAGGTCTTTGTCTGTGGATTAAGCATTTTCAAGAACCAGCAAGAATAAATGTTTTCCTGCTTTCACTGCTTTCTGTACCTTAGGACCAAGCCACATAGGATATTTGTTGAGACTCCAACGTTTTCTTATTTGGACTTGGTTGTTTTAGAGTACTTGTTTTGCAGGACTGCACATCCCAGGGAAGGAAATTAAGGTCAGAGATGAGAAAAACCCACCTAAGGGCCTGAAATAATTTTCATTTTTCCAAGACCACCCTGTGTGGGAATGATACATTTAAAATGGGTGGAACCTCTAAGCCTGGAATTGTATCAAGTTATTCATGAAAAATCTCTGAGATCTTTGTGTGGACCAAGATATTTAGGTGGTACTTTCTCACTCTTTCTTCAGAAAAGGCACTGTGGCCTCACAAACTGAAAACTAGCCTTGCTTTTTTCCTGACTTTAAAAATAACTATGTATCTTGAAAAGCTGTCTCAGCAGTAGTGAAGGAATGGAAAAAAAAGTCCATTATATCCCCATGGTTTCATACAGTGCAGCTGTGCTAACAGAGTGCACAGAGACTGAGACCAGGGGAAAGGCACGAAATAGTGCATGAAATGAGCAGTTGAATTTAACAGTAAAGCTTCACGTAATGCAGAGATCGATTGTCCAGGTATCCCATTGCAGATGGCAGGTTTTTGCCTTTATATTTTAGGGGGAAAATCCAGAATAAAAATTAATAAATAAATTCTAGCACTTTTTATTAATCTTTTTTTTACTGAAATCAATGAGGAAATTACTATCTTAAAAGAAATCTTTCTTACATTAGATTAACATCTTCAATTATTCTTGCAATATATTTGGATTACATATCCCTATTCTGTTTTGATTTTCCTTCTGGCAGAATGTCTGTAGAATGAAAGTCCTATATGAAAAGAACCAGGTTTATAATGAATTAATCATATTTTTATAATATTTGTTGTTTATTTTTATTGTAATTATTATTTTTTATGTTAATATAGTATAATTATTGTAACTGGATTATTAAATCAGTTTAAAACTATCTTCCTTTTCTTTTAGAGGAGCAAACATGCATCAACATACAGCTTTCAAAAGTTTCTCTAAGGTCTTGGTGCAATTATTAGCAATTGCTAATAATTTAAAAAATATTTGTGCATGCATAATGGAATGAATATCAACCAAATGTAATATGCAGTTGCCACAGTGGCTCTGTTCCCCCTGACTCGACTCTAACATGCTGGTGGTTAGTTTATAACCCTCTTTAGGTTACAGCATTTTAACGTTTCTCCAGTGTTTATTTATTCTCTTCCCAAAGAATGTTCTGAAATATCAAGTTTACAACCTGTGGCTCATGTGATGGTAGTGGAAACAATTAAGCAAGAAACTTTCAAAGCCACCACTGGGATTTTGATGCCCAAAGTCATTAATTTTAATAAGAAGGGAGCTGCCAGTCGTCTTAAGTGGTTTGTAAAATCTCAACCCATAAAAACACCTCTCTACTGGTTCCAGTTTACGGGGAGCTCAGAGCAAGGTAAACACATGTAAGAAAATAGTAGGTGTTAAAAGGTGGAAAGTACGTGTTCAGATATCCCTAAGACCACTCAAGGAATCAAAGAGCAGCCCCAGCCTTGAGCTGGCACACGGGGGCTGCTCCTGCCTGCAGCATCTCAGGGAGTTGCTGCCTGATCAGAGCATGAGGCACAGAGAAGGAATTCAATGGAAACAGAAATCTTGGCTACAGCTCAGTTCCAGTGGCTTCCATTGGCCACCCACTGGTCTCTGCTGCAATCTCAACACCCACAAGGTGTCTGTAGGTGCTTGGTCCAGGTCCTTCCTACCTGCCTAAACTCTCCTGTCAAAGTTCACACTGCGTTATCCTCCAACATGCTAAATGGCTGAATTTGGATGTTCGTACTTCACTGACCCACCATCATGGTTGGATAAAAATTAAGAACTCTCTGCTGTGGCCTGAGAGAGCCCCCCAGTGCAAACCTGTGAGCACCTCTTCATTTACATGAGTCAGGAGATGGCTTTGCTTCCGCTATGAAGCCTGTGCCATAGCTGAGGAACTCTTAAAGGCTTTGAAAAGCACCAAGAACTCTCAAAGGAAACTGCAGCACCGGGGAACATTCACCCTCAACATGAAACATGGAAGAAAGTCTTAATGGGGAAAAACATTTAGAACCAGCAGACCTATCTGTGGTATAAAATAGAGCATGGAGTGAGTATGAGTGAGTTTGGAAAGGACTGACTGGGAGTCTGAATGATTGGGAAAAGAAGGGAAAAAAGGTATTTTCTTGTGTGTTTTATTAATAAAATCAACCATGGAGAATTTTAGAACTAGTTTTAGAAAACTTTCTTTTTCTCCTCTATCTGTTGTATGATCTCTGAAGAACTTCATAAATTTTGGCTACAAGTGACAAGGTTACTGTAGTATTTGCTAGTGAGTCTTATAGTAACAATAATTAATTATCAGTAGGTATTGGAAAGACTTTTGGATGAAACACAATGCGGTAGAAATAGAGGTGACCATCAAGACTGGTATTGTAACAGGCTTCAAGAAAGTCAAAAAGAAAAAAAGCTTTCATTAGTAGTAGATGTGACTTTTTTGGAAGAGAACAAAATGTTCCATAAATGAAACATGTGGTTTCACTTGTGGCACATTTTGTACATTGTCACCAATGAAGTTTAGGATTTTTTATTACTTTTTCATTAAAATGTCTTACTGGTTTCACTCAGGAGGCAAAATTTTTCACGTGGCTTTAATTGTTTCTGTCATAAAAGTCATAGCATCCATGTAATAGAAATAGTTTTGCAGACCACAGCTTCATATTGCCTATTAATTCTCTCCCATTTTCTGTATGTACAACTCATTGGCCCATCCCAGGGACAGGAAAATTTCTTGCAATTAAGACTCAATATGAACTTCTACTGAAGTTAGGGGGGAAAAATAACTTTATGTCAGTCCTGGTTTATTAGTTTTTTGTTTCAGCTATCTTAGCTCACAATAAGTTCACATGGCTGCATACCAAAGGAGAGAGTTTATATTGACTTTCTTCTAAGATCAGTGAAACTCTAGAAGATGAAAATAAAAGGTCTTTTTCTGCATCATTCTAGTCATGTACAATAGGTGGTAATACTTCAGACAGGATTGAAGAGCTGTGGCAAAATTGTTTCAAGGAGGCTTTGAAAAGGTCATTTACCCCTTTTTTCTTCATTACCTGCTGGAGTTCAGGTCTCACATATCCTATCCCAGCTGCCAAGCTTCCACGCTTCTATCATCAGCCTAGGCTTCCTTCTCCCCAATCCTGACTGGATGAGGAGATATAATTCTTGTTGCAGTTAAAACAGTGACTTGTTTCCTACAGATGACATCCAAAGTTGGGGGGGAAAAGAACCAAAAAGCAAGAAATAATGAGATAATTTATTAATTTTAGATCAGCTTCTCTTCAGGTATTTATTTTCCTCAAAGAGAGTAATTTGCCAGCTTGGAGCTAGTTTTGTCATTCAACCTTCAGCCCAGCAGGGGAGGCAACCCCTACCACAGACTCTAAGGCCTCTAAAAAGTCATTAAAATGCCAGAAAACAGCAATAGAGTATCTGTTGCCTTTCCCCCATTTTTCAGTTAAGTGTTTACTTGAAAGCTTCCTATGAAATGCCAGTGCTGTCTTTACTTGCTGCCCCAGAGCAAAGCCTTGTGCACCTTCTCAGCAGTCAGGGACACCCACCAAGCAGTGCAGTCTTCTGCTTTCACCTTTGTTTTGGCACTCTTCCTCCTTTACTCATATTTAGATGTTATGTTTTGCAGTTCAAGGACAACAAAGACAAGCCCAGCCTTGGAGGGACTCTCAGTGACCGCCCTGCCCCCTGTCCAGCTTTCTGAGCAGGTCCCACTGGCATCTCCCTCCCTGAAGCCACAGCAGATGGATGAAGAAGACAGCCTGTCTCCTCACCTCCTGCTGCCCGACAGCATCAGCCAGCTGGAGGAGTTTGGCAGGCAGAAGAAATGGCACAAGAAGCAGCACAAGCACCATCGCCAGAGGCAGTTCAATGACCTCTGGGTTCGGATAGAAGACAGGTGAGTCATGACTCTGGTCCCTGTCCTCTTCCTGCTGGCTCCTCACTCAGTGCTCTTTGCAGATCCCAGCTCTTGCTGATTAGACCATAGGGAGGGTCAGACAAAGGCTAACTGGGAGACACAGGGAGTGAGATGATGTTTTTGTAGCCTAATGAAGAGCTAGGAGGAAAATAGGCGTGTTCATAGGCATGTTTGACCAAAAAGTAAAGAGGGAAAAAAGAGTTAGTGCTTAAAATATTTAAAATACATAAAAACAAAGATTTGTCAGATTGAAAAAACAGGAAAAGAACAACAATAGAAAATACTCTGTGCTTGTTGTTTTTCTTCCAATAATTCTTTTCCTATCTGTACCAGCAGTTTTCATCACAAAGGCTTGCCCATTTTCCAACCATACAGAATATTCCTGAGAGTTCTTAAGATTCTGTACAAATTTGACTTTCAACCTTTTAACTGTGTTGTGGGGCTGAAATATTTTAACATCTCAGACTGCACTGAAAATAGCAAACTGAAGCAAAATGAAGTACTTAACTAAATCCTCTATGTGAAGAATGGAGGCAGGCACTTTTCCATGGCTATTCCAATCTTGGTCTGAGGTTAAAAACTCCCATTCAATGTTTGAATAAGAGCCTTCATGTTTGACCAGGGCTTCTCAATGTGTGCTTTTAGGATTCCTGGGCAATTTATTCTCCCACCTCTAAAGCTCCTAGTGCCTTTATGCATACCAAATCATGGGCAGATAAATACCCACAATGTTTATTGATCTTCTAACAAGTAAAAGGAACTAAGTAATATGTTGGGAACTGGCTGCTCACCTACACATATAATAATTGTCTTTGAGCATTACGTATTCCCATTTTCATAGCACCTAAATTCCTTGAAAGTCTCTCAGAGATTTCTCCCTTTGCAAAGAAAAAAAGCTTCACATATTTGTGTTTTCAGATTTTTATTATTATTACTATTATTTTTATTCATTCTTTTTAATGGAGCAGTTACCTCATTTTTTGTAGTTTATCATTTTCTCAGGGTGAATGATGTAAGGGTTGCTATTAAGGTGGTGCATATTAATCTTAATGTAATAAGGCTGTTTCTGAGGTCAGTGCCAGCCTTGTAAGAAGGATTCATGTATTTTCTTTTCAAAGTGTGTGTTCAGTGCTTGGATTCCCTCCACAGAGGACATTTAAGTATGAACTAGGTGACATTTGGTTCCCCATAGCTGATTGCCTCAAATACAAAGGATTTTTCTGTCCTTCTGCCTGGGGGCTGCTGACCTGTGGTGTCCCATGATGTCCCAGCATTTCACAAGGGTCTGTGGTCAAGTTCCCCATGTGTTGTACAAGTGAGGTGTTTAAATAGGTCTGGTGGGAGGCTGGCACTTGGACACAATCTTCCCATCTCTATCCTATCTATCCAGAAAGATAGATATTGGCAGTGGAAATGTGCAGTTGGGAGCTTAAAGTGATACTTATGATTTTTGTGCATTTTGCTGATTTTATTAAAAGTTCTTAGGAAAGGGATTTAAGAGGTAGTTCCAAAGATTAGAGTTAAATTATTTGCTGTGTGCTCCTGTGAGATTTCACCTGAATCAAAGCCTTTTATCCCTCTATTTCCATTTCATAGGGGTGGAGATCGGGGTGAGGAAACACAAGTTTCCGCTCCCACTACGCTGGTGATGAACCAGACACTGTGTGTTGCCTGCCTTGATGAAAGATCCCAGAGAGATATTAGTGGGAGTTCACAGGCCTAGAAATGAGGAAAGGCTGGAAGAAGGGAAGCTTGCCTTAGTGTTTTCAGATGGTTTTAGTGCTTCTGCAGTTCTGGAGTAACTTCTGGTGTTTTCCTGGAAACAAAGCAAAACAAAACACAAAAAATAACAGTTCACTAAATCAGAGACTCACAACCAGCTCTGGTTTTCCCATAAATTGGATGGGGTCTCAACTTTCATAAACCAGCTGCTGCATATTGTGCTTTTGGCAGTTGGGTTTCATCAGCATTAATTGCAAGCTGGACCCTGCACAAAGCAATAAACAGTGAGTTCTCTCCAACTGGTTCCTTTCTGATTGGCAAGAAAAGAGCACAAATGTGTGTCTGTGACCAGACCTTGTATGGTGATCATTTTTGGGAGGAAACAAGCAGGGTGGCGGATCACACAGGCAATAGAGTGTTACCTGTGCAGGAGAGAAATGTGGACTTCTTTGCATTGCCTCAGTGATGTTTCAGCAGTGCGACTTAGCACTCATTTTTGAAGGGTAATTGGTATACTAGGGAGTTCTTGCTCTGGCCTGACCCAAAAATCCATTGTGCATTTGGAGTCCCCCATGTTCTGTGTGGACTGGGGTCTCTGCATTTAGTATTAACTTGAGCTATGGCCCTGTATTTCCAAATGGCTGTTCTTCCAGTTCCCTAACTCGCCAGTTGTCACCTGAAACTTGAATTGCTCACCTTTGAGACAAAGTAGAGGGATTTAGGTCTTTGTTACAGCTTTTGGGGGAAAGCTGCATGAAGCTCATTGTTTCCATGCGAGGTCCCCAGGATTCAGCTGTTGGAGCTGCCTTTCAACCTGAAAAGTCAAAGAGAAATATGCAGGTGGAGGACAAATCCAGGCAAATTTAAACCAGGTTATTGATTCCTGTATGAACCTCATTGAACTGTGAAATGGCTGTGGTTCATACAGCTCTTTTCCAAAGCTTTATTGACCATGGATTAGAGGACTTTATGAGCCATGAATTGCAGGGCTTTTATGGACTACGCATTTCTAGGCGATCTCATACACTTCCATGGAAATCTTAGGGTGTTTTCTTAAGCTACCAACAGAGAAACAAAGGAAATGAACACAGGAGAACAATCTTAAAGGAACATCAAAGGTCTGACTCCAACCTATAAAAGCCAGGAAATCCATAATTAATGGTTCCACTAAGACTTCAGCTCTCACAGTCATTCGGGTCTGATCCAAGGTTATGGCTACAATCTGCAATGGCCTTGTGAAAAATGAGTCATCATTTAATGCTTCACATCATTATTAGTGTTTACTTTCAGTTGTACCTTGGAGATTGTCCTTTTCTTTTTGTTCTGTCTTCACAGCTGAGGCATTTGAGTTGGCACCCCTGGGTGGACAGTGTTTAGATTTGTGTGTTGGAGGCTTAGTACTGCTGTGGAGGATGAGAAAGCTTCTGCTCTGTCTCCTCCCTGTCTTTCACAGAGCTAAGATTTGCTGATCTCCTGGGTAATCGGCTGCACTGAAGGCTATTAAAAAATAAAAAATGCTGATGAAATGTGTGGTTTCCTCTCCCTTCTGCCTCCTTCCCCCAAAATCTAAACAAACTGAAAAAGTCCTGCCTGACTGCAGTTTCTGTTTGAAATGGCTTGTCAAGAATCAAAATTGAATGGAGATTTCAAGTAGCAAGATTTTTTTTCTTCAACGACTTGATTTTGCAGAAATGTGCAGATCTGAAGTCTGTCCTTGGGAGAAAATTTGAACTTAGACAAGACTCAAACCCCGGCTACCTCCCATAGCCAAAATCCAGCTGGGGCAGCAGGGAGGGGAGACAAAACCCTCAGGCTGCAAGGCTGAAGTTTGGCATACAGAGTATCATTGTTTCTCTTGACACTGTGTTAGCTGGGCTTCCCCATGTAATATAAATTATTAATTACAGATCATTCACTGGCTTTTCATGGTGAGATGCTCAGTTAATTGAAAGAATAGAGAAATGCCTGTGAGGTTTCAGAGTGGTCAGTGAAGGGCAGGTCAGGATTGCACCTTTGCTGTAGCAGGCAAATGGTTCAAGGCTGCCAACAAAACCAGTCCAGGAGAACAGAGAACCTCTCCCAGCTGCTGGGGGGGGTTATCCTGGGACCTAAGGCAAGGAGGGAGGAAAACTCCTGGGAAAAAGGAGGGAGGAGAGTTATTAACTGGGAGGGCGTTATGGGAGGGGTGCGGTTTGGAAGGAGCAATGGCAGCTAGGGGATGTGAAAGAGAGAAGTACAGTGGTGGGAAGAAAAAAAAGTAGAAAGGATGTAATGGGCAAGTTAATTCTCACTGTCCAGGAAGAGATCTGGGTGAAGGTGGTGTTTGGAAAGACACTAAGGACACACACACTTCAACAGGAAAGAAATTAAGGGCAAAGAATTGTCCTCAGAGGAGGAAAAAAAAAAAAATCTTGTCCCAGATGTAAGCTTAGCCCTGCAAAAGCTACCATTAGTGGGAAATTAAATGAATTCTCCCTGTAAGTAGAAATGGCAGCTCTCTGATAGCCCAGTGCAGACTGTTCAACCCCAGATGAATGCAATAACATCACAAATATCAATTCATTTTGGAAGAAGCAGTTGGTTTAAGGGGAAAAAATGTATAGCAGTGATGGATGAAGGGAGACAATATGTAATAAACTATACTGAGTTTGCCTGTACAGAGTGAACCTTATCAGTTTGGATGGAATTTAAGCACTTAGCCTGTTATCCTTTCTTTCAAGACAATGCAGTGATGGAAAACAGAACTCTGTCAACTCAGACAAACTTTTAATTCCACTTAACTGCATCTGAAAGGTAAATTTCAGTAAATTAATCCAAATTGCTTCCTTTTCACAACACATGGTGCTGAAATACAGTACTTAACTTCATTAAAGAAAAGACTGCTTTTATTTAGAGGAGACCTAGACACCTTTGAAGTCTAACAGGTAAATTATGGTCAGATGATTTCCCTCCATATGGTAGCTTTGAGCTTGAAATTTCCATCACTGGGGCCTTGTTTGTTTAAATTACCCTGTCTGCCTCCCTGGTCAGGACACTGCTCGGGGAATGCCTCCTGATGCTCATGGGGAGGGGGATCACTGCTCCTCCAGCCTGTGCAGCCAAGGAAGCAGTGTCACCTTTGCATTTATTTGCCCTGTGTTCAACCAGGGATGAGAACACAGCTTCAGGACTTCTCTATCTCGCAGGGCATGGCATGCAGATATCTGCAGTCAGCAGAAGAACTTCAGGGTTTGTCAGTTTGGGTGCAAGAGCTTTCT